AGCAGCTATTAGATAGGCATATGGATGATAGTATCAGGTAGGGGTGGAGGTTCGATAGACCTTAGTATTAGGGTAGAAGTTCAGCACAAGATCATGGGCCAAAGGGCCTGTACTGTTCTTTGTTCTAATGCAACAAGTAATGCTAAAAAAAAAAAAAGGGAAAAACAGGAGAAAGCATTCACATTCCAGGTGTTGAACTCAATGTTGAGTCCAGAGGGTTGTCAATGCCTAGTCTAAAGTAGAGATACTGTTCTTCCAGTTTGCACTGTGATTCACTGCAGCATGCAAAGGACAGACAAATGGGCACACAACCAGGATGCCATGCTACAAATAACCTGCTACAGGAATATTAGGATCATGCTTTGACATGGGCCAGAGGTACATCAACTCTGAAGAGTCATCCAGACTCAATATTAGCTTGCCTTCCCCTCCATGGATGTTCCCTGACAAAGAGGATTTCCAGCCAGTTGTCAGTCAGGGTTCCACTATCTGCAATAATTTGCCCCTACTTCCCACTACAGTTAGCTGTACTTGAGAATAATGTAGATGCTGGAAACATCACAAAAACCAAGTTTCACATTTAAAACAAAAACATGATCACAGAGCAGGCATCTGACTTCTATCAAACATTCTCACTGCATTTGTTCTCAGGAAGAACTTAGAAATGCATCCCCTACCAAACCATTGGCATGAAAATACAGCCCAATAACAACAATTAAAAAAAAAACTTTCATTTTAAAATGAAAGCCAAAACACAAGTCTCACCATGGAGAGGTAGACATAGGAGGAATAGAGCTCCAGGTTGATCTGCTTGTTCACAGCATCCTCACAGTCCTTGTGGTAGTTCTGACACACTTGGGAGGCCATCCTCACTATTCCTACTCACTACCACCTAGACAACTCTAGAACTGAGCCTTCCTCCTACAAGCTCTTGTATTTATACTCCTGGGATATCCTGCTCTCAACCAGCAAATGATGTCACCAATGATGATTGACAATCCTCTGATAGCCAATCAGAAATCTCCCATCAATCCAGGCACTAATTTCAGACAGGGAAT